CGCACTGATGAAATTCGGAGGACTCCTCCTACTCCACAAGATGAAATGAGAGCTGGAATGAGCTACTTCCATGAAACAATTTGGAAGGGTGTTCCAAAGTTTCTGCGCCGTGTAGACACAGCTCTTAAAAACATAGGGATTAATGAACGAGTTCCTTATAGTGCTCCTCTTATTCAGTTCTCCTCTTGGATGGGTGGCGATCGTGACGGTACAATTCCTCTCCATTTAATGGTGTTATTTTCTAAGTAGAGAACACAAACCATTCGAAACCTGTGATATTGTCATGATACATTATTTGAAGGGCACTCGGAAGTATTTGCTACATAGATTTCTCTTTTGAATGGAAGTCGGGTTTTAAGATTACTAGATATCTTTGGTAGAAGATAGGATAAATACTTCTTCCATCACTCGCTCAGCATGTGTTTTCTAGTAAATGCAGGTAATCCGAGAGTAACTCCAGAGGTCACTAGGGATGTTTGCTTATTGGCCCGAATGATGGCAGCTAATTTGTACTATTCTCAGATTGATGATCTAATGTTTGAGGTTTTAACAACGCATATATCTTTCTGACTTTCCTCTTGGTCTATTTTGAAAAACTTTCATCATTTCCAACATATGATTCGAACTAGCACATTGTTTCAGATGTCTATGTGGCGTTGCAATGATGAGCTTCGCGTTCGAGCGGATGAACTCCACAGTTCATCAAAGAGAGATGAAAAACACTACATAGGTAACTAGCGTGAATTTGAATCACATAAAGATAACCTGCTAGTTTCATATACATTTGATAGCACAGCCCGGAGTTCTGGCCTGAGGTAACCTTTTGAATGTTCTCCACTTCAAGTGAACATAGGTAACGAAGCATGAATCCTCTTGAAGTGTTCCATGATTGCCAATCTAAAGAAAAGAGAACTTCGTACTTCCATACAAATTCAATTGGATTGTGTTGATGCTGTTTTTATGAATGCTTTCTATGTTCTCCATTTCAAGTGAGCAAAGGGTGTTGTCGCTGATTTTACAGAGACAGAGAGAGAAAAAAAGTAATTTCACCGTCTGCTGTTCAGTCGGTCTTGAGAAGTTGCATGAGACTGTCTCTATACCTATCTTTAACAGAGCAATTGCATAACTCCTGAGCTACAAACTTTTCTTTGATGTAGAGTTCTGGAAACAAATTCCACCAAGTGAACCGTATCGTGTAATTCTCGGTGATGTGAGAGATAAGCTGTATCATACGCGTGAACGTACTCGCCAACTGTTATCCAATGGATTCTCTGATATTCCAGAGGAGGCAACATATACTAATATTGAGCAGGTGTGCAACACTTCAGTATTTTCTCATCTTTCTTACTTTTATATCTTATCCTGTGACCAACTTGTAGAATCCCGAATTAATAAACGTTGTTATTCTTTGTTGAACAACTTGACATGTTATTCCTGATCATAAGACTAGAGAGTACCACCAGAATTGTACTTATATCCAGTTTGTTGACTAGGCATTGATATTCTCTTTTGTATTTCAGAATTTGCACATACCTCCATTTTCTGCCACACAATGTTTTTTTTTTTTGATTGTTAAAGGATTTTGCTAAGGAGCAGCAAAATGCTGCAGAGGAAACTCTGTCACACAATGATTCCTTTTGCATGAATAATAAGGTGCTAATATTTTTGCACATTTTGTGCAGTTCTTAGAGCCTCTTGAGCTCTGCTACAGATCTCTTTGTGCTTGTGGGGATAGACCCATTGCTGATGGAAGCCTTCTAGATTTTCTAAGACAAGTTTCCACCTTTGGACTCTCACTTGTGAGACTTGACATAAGACAAGAGTCGGATCGCCACACTGATGTCCTTGATGCCATTACCCAGCATTTGGAAATTGGTTCATATCGAGAGTGGTCTGAGGAACGTAGACAGGAGTGGCTTCTGTCTGAACTCAGCGGCAAGCGACCTCTATTTGGACCCGATCTTCCGAAAACCGAAGAAATTGCTGAGGTTTTGGATACATTCCATGTCATATCAGAACTTCCATCAGATTGCTTCGGGGCATACATCATCTCAATGGCCACTGCACCATCTGATGTGCTTGCAGTTGAGCTTCTACAGCGTGAATGCCATGTGAAGCGACCTTTACGGGTAGTTCCACTTTTTGAGAAATTGGATGATCTGGAGGCTGCTCCTGCTGCTGTTGCTCGTCTTTTTTCTATTGAATGGTACAAAAACCGTATTAATGGGAAGCAAGAGGTCATGATTGGCTACTCAGACTCTGGCAAGGATGCTGGTCGTATGTCGGCAGCATGGCAGCTATACAAGGCTCAAGAGGAGCTTATAAAAGTTTCCAAACAATACGGTGTGAAGCTAACTATGTTCCATGGTAGAGGTGGTACAGTTGGAAGAGGAGGTGGTCCCAGCCATCTTGCTATATTATCTCAGCCACCTGATACAATTCAGGGATCTCTCCGTGTAACAGTTCAAGGTGAGGTTATTGAGCAATCATTTGGGGAGGAACACTTGTGTTTTAGGACACTCCAACGTTTCACTTCTGCCACCCTAGAACATGGGATGAATCCACCTCTCTCTCCAAAACCAGAATGGCGTGCCCTTCTGGACGAAATTGCAGTCATTGCTACTGAGAAGTATAGGTCAATAGTATTCAAGGAACCCCGATTTGTCGAGTACTTCCGCCTGGTCAGTGTGCTAGGAAAATGCATTATATTCATTCTGAAACAGTAGGTGTTACCAAACGGTAACAAATATTTCTTTTGACTTTAGTAAGTTAGTTTTTTCATTTATTCTTTTGGATCATAATTACAGGCAACACCTGAGCTGGAGTATGGTCGAATGAACATTGGCAGCCGTCCATCAAAGCGTAAACCCAGTGGAGGCATAGAATCACTTAGAGCTATTCCGTGGATCTTTGCATGGACTCAGACTAGGTTTCATCTGCCAGTCTGGCTTGGCTTTGGGGCAGCATTTAAGTATGCACTTAACAAGGATGTCAAGAATCTTCATATACTGCAGGATATGTACAACAAATGGCCATTCTTTAGAGTTACTATTGATTTGGTTGAGATGGTGTTTGCCAAGGGAGACCCAGGCATTGCTGCTTTATACGACAAGCTTCTGGTTTCTGAAGATTTGTGGTCCTTCGGTGAGCTTTTGAGGGCCAATTACGAGGAGACAAAGAGCCTCCTGCTTCAGGTAAAATTGTATGACTAAGTTCTTGCATTTGGCATGCGTTGTTACTTATCATGTTTGATTGCATGATAACCATTTTCTCTTATATGTTGCTTTTGTATAGATTGCTGGACACAAGGATCTTCTGGAGGGAGACCCCTACTTAAAACAACGACTCAGGTTGCGTGATTCGTATATCACTACCTTAAATGTGTGCCAAGCTTACACACTAAAGCGAGTTCGTGATCCAAACTACCTTGTTACACTGCGGCCTCACATAACCAAGGAATACATGGAATCAAAGCCTGCTGCTGAACTAGTGAAACTGAACCCACGAAGTGATTACGCCCCTGGCTTGGAAGACACTCTCATCTTGACCATGAAGGGTATTGCTGCTGGAATGCAGAATACTGGTTAAGTCTATTCTGTTCTATGTTTTAGTGTTTGTACTTGAAAAGCACTGCTCCCACTTGTGTTTTGTGGTGGTGAAGTATTTGCCCACCCGATTACCGGAAAGTATACATGTATACTCAAGTTCATTTTGCTTCCAACTTCTAGTTTAGTAATCCATGTGATGGCTGAATAATTATTGCCTCTTGTTTACTAGCTTCTTGAATACAAGTATGCTGCAACAAGTAGCTTTTCTCCTTTTGATTTTTATTCTTTATGCTTCAAAATTCAAGAATCTTTTCCAGTTGCCTTCTAGTTTTTAATTGGAGTGGTAAATGGTTTTGGGATCCTGAATTTTGGCGGTTTAAATAGCAGGGAGATTTACGCTACAAACTACTAATTGCTAAATGAAAGACGGCCGAGTTCAGCAGTGTTAGCTTATTTTCAAGTTTTTATCTTTATGGCTAACCATTTCATTTTAAAATATAATTGGGACATTTACCCAAGAAATGGATAAAAATCGAAAGATCGAAGTGTGAGAATACAACTATCTATTTTAACTGTTGTACTTTTGAATTGCATGTAGAATGTGGCCAAAGATTGATAAATTTGACCCAAAAGAATCTATGATAACCATTAGCGGCGAAGCCAGGAATTTCCTCAAGGGTATTCATACTTGAAAGAAGGAAAAAAAATCCGACAAAGGGTGTTCGATATATATTATGTACTTCTAATATATGATATTTTACCAATATACGCAGTATAATTTTCCAACAAAGGGTGATCAATTGACCACCCTTACCAAAGTGTAGCTTCGCCCCTGATAACCATAATTAGAGCCAAGTCTAGCCATTAATTTAGTGAAATAATACGTATTTTGGTATTTCTAAAACCGAAATTACCCAATATATGATAAATTTGTACAATATGTTGAACAAGTGAACCTTATATAATGTAACAAAACAAGAAGAAAATAATCTACTCGTAACGAACACCTCAAATAAGTTATTGTTAATTTAGATGACGTCACATCTGAAATTTCGAACAAGTGATTTGTGATAGAGTAGTAGGTGTTTGTTACTTTAATCCAATAAAAATTTATTCGTCACAAATTTTGACCCAAAAAAAATAATTGAAACTTGTAATTGTATGCATGTCCTGACCCTTGTGTGATTATAAACCTTTTAAAACTTGCGGTGTTAAATATATCATAAACTCATAATATTTTTATGGTTAAAAATCTTCTCATTAAGAATACAACAGAGAGTGTAATGTTAATTATTATTTTTAAATATAAAAGTATATTGTTTTTTTGGAATGAATAATAAGAAATAGACAATAGCCAGTATATGGAAATTTTCAACCTATCATATGCAATTTAATAAAATAGGATATCACGTTTAGCTCAAACATGAGTTTAACTTCAAGAATAAGTAAGGGATCTCGTTGAACCGGACTCCCAAACGGTTCAAAACAACCGGAAGGCCGCTTATTGAACCAGAAGGAGAAGAAAGCACAAATTTTCAGAAAAGAGAGAAGCTAAGCAGTGAAATGGCTCTAGCGACGAGGCAGAGACGACCTTTACCGTCGGATCTTCGGGCGACGGCGTCATCGCCAACGACGTCGTATACAAAGGTGGATAAGCCGAAGAGATCGGATGGTGAAAATGAGGGCGTCGATAAAGGACTAGGTTGGCTTCTGCCGTTGATTTGCTTAGGGATGCTAAGGCACATGAGCGCTATGTCAAATATAATTCACGATTGTGATGAGGTGTTCAATTACTGGGAGCCTCTTCACTACTTGCTCTATAAGTCTGGTTTCCAAACTTGGGAGTACAGGTTCAACTTCTTCCATTACATAGCACTATATAGTCAAATGTTGTCTTTGGAATATCATATTTTAGCTGATGCGTAGCATTTTTGTTCAATGTCTCTAAAGTGATAATTTCTGGATCCATCAAACAAAGTCGATGTAGTATTAAGTGATATTCCTCTGTTCCATTTCATGTGGCACACTTTGTCTCAAAAAGAAGAGTTTAATTATATTACCATCAATGTAAACATTTTCTTGCACTATAAGGTCATCCAAAGGATATCTACATGTAATCCTCCTTAAACTGTGAGAGTAGTAATCTTGAAAATAAGAGAGATTACCTACTATAATAAGTAAAGGTGACCAGATGGTGTAAAAATTTCACTCCAAGAAGAGTGACACCTTTTTATATTTAGAAACATTTAACTTTAACTTTTCATTTTACCCTTAATGAGATGATTTATAACTATAAAAATGTTTATGGCTTGTTTTAGACCACAAATTTGAGACGTCTTTCTTTCGTTCTTAAATTAATAGTGCCGCATAAATTGAGACGGAGGGAGTACTTTATCTCTACTTGTGATATCTAAATATTCAAGTATGTACTTTACTTATAGTACCACATATTGTAGTTTAAATATTCATCCTTTGGTACATATGCCAAGACATATATTTTGGGATTGGCAGCAAGTGATTCATATAGAGGATACAAACTAGTAGTTTCGATTAAGGTTTAGTCATTGTTGTTACACATACATTAGGTTAGTAGTTGACAAGAGTCCTTTAATTTGGTTCAAGACTTGTGTGCTAATGTGGGGATAAGTGTGTGATCTAGAGAACCCATTGTTTGCCTTATTAGATGAATTATTTATAAGCAATTTGGTATTGAAATAACTCATGGCCAAATAGAGAGGAATGGTTACAAAGGAACCTTATAGCCGACCCCAACTTTGATTTGGATTGAAGCACAATTGATTGGTTGATGATATTAGTATGAACCCTTTTAGTAACTAGAGTTCACTTTGTTTTGATGGTACTTTTACAAAGTTGGGTAACATGTTATTTGCAGTTCGCAGTTTGCCTTGCGGTCATATCTTTATATCCTACTTCACAAACTGGTGGGTTGGCCTGCTTCATGGTGGTTTGGGGAGGAGAAGGTGAGATTGTTTTTGTTTCCAGAAATATTTCCCATCGTTAGTCATTTCATTTATTTGTTTCTCAAATTTCTCCATCTTTCAACATGTCAGGTGAGAGTATTATATGCTGTGAGAATCTTTCTTGCAGTGCTCTCTGTGATCAGCGATGCTGCTCTAGTCGTAGCCCTTTCCCGGAAGTATGGAAAGCGTCTTGCATCATATACACTCGCAATGCTATGCTTAGCAAGTGGTTGTTTCTTTGCTAGCACGAGTATGTTCTCTCGCTAGACTATATTTGAGGTTTCTCCTTTTTTGGTGGTAAACAATTAATGAAGCACAAGTATGTTCTTTCAGTGAACTGTATATGAGGTTTTCATTTTCTGGTGTTAAACAATTAATGATTTTTAAATTTTAGCTTTTTCTGTGTGCTTTCATACTATGTGTGATCTAGATATGCACTGGTGACTCCTTAATATTGGTTGCTAACACATCTGGTCTTGCTCACAACCTTCAACCACATGTACATTGGGTCTGTTTTTCTCATAATACTAAGGCCTATTATGTGTCCTTTGTACAGGTTTCCTGCCGAGTTCATTCTCAATGTATGCCATGTCTCTTTCTTCAGCACTATTCCTCTTTAATAAGCCTGCCATGGCACTTTCTGTTGCTGCCACTGGAGTGATTCTGGGCTGGCCGTTTTCGATCCTAGCTTTTCTTCCACTGACAATTTACTCACTGGTTAAGAGATTCAAATCTGTGTTTCTTACAGGTGTTGTCACATCTGTCATCCTTATGGTAAGTTTTGATCATATTAAGTCTCTTGTGATGTTGAGTTCTCGTGTTTCAAACTTAAAACTTGGGAAGTTTCCTTTAAAGGGAATCAAAATTATACATTTCCAACCTAAGTTACTCGGACACGGGTGCAGGTGTCCAACTGGGGGTGCGGATCTAGAGGTCAGATCCTTCAAGCTATAAATTTTAAGATCCGGGGATACGGATCCTAGTACAGGATCCGGCTAAAAATAATTCATAAAAATATAAAAATAAAAAGAATATCTCTAAATTATGAGAAATTTTGTGGAATGCTTACGTATAACTTGTAAAGCGTGAATTTATTTTTATTCTCAAGTTGTAGATAAGTAAATGATTGATTTCATAGATAAGGTATGCTATTTTCTTCAAATTTACCCTAGATTTGGTCCTGATTTCGTGAATCAAATTGTATCTCGTCTTGATACTTTCCGTCCATCATGGTGAAAGTACCCAAAATCGTTTGACCAGATCCGGTATGGATCCTATACCCACACCCATACTAGTGCCGTGTCAACACAGATGCGGCACCTAAACTGCCGTGTCGGAGCAACTTAGTTTCCAACATATGGAGTTATTCATGCTTACTGCGCAAGATGCAGGAAGATCGCCAACCAAATGTTCATGTTGCTAAACTTCAATATGCAAGTCCATCTTCCTAAATTGAAATTTCAAAATTCCACTTAACCTATTAGTTTGCCCGTTTTAGTGCTGCTGGCATGTTTTTTTCCCTCCCTGGAACACATATCTGTGCTGCCTGATGACTCGACTTGTTGTACAAATTGTTCTAGGTACTCTCACTTCTTGTTGACTACCGCTACTATAAGAGGTGGACATCCTCTGTTATCAACTTGCTGGTATACAATGTTATAGGGGGTGGTGAAAGTCATCTCTACGGTACTGAAGGGCCATCATTTTATTTGAGGAATGGCTTTAACAATTTCAACTTCTGTTTTGTGTTTGCTCTACTGTTCTTAGCAATACTACCCATTGCTAAGAAGAAGTATGCTCCTGAGTTGTTGGTTGTTGTTTCACCTGTCTATCTCTGGATTGCCTTTATGTCCTTACAGCCGCACAAAGAAGAAAGGTTAGTCCTCTTCAATTTTTCTCCTTGCCACCAGACTATATATATGTATATATATATATATATATATATAGAGAGAGAGAGAGAGAGAGAGCGAGAGAGAGAGATCATATATTACATGTCTACTTGTAGAGCTTCATGTGCCGCTGAAGATATAACAGAGGAAATAAGTATGTTTTCTGAACATGGCAAGGTAACATAGCAAATAACTAAAAGTCAGACTGAAATTGCTAGCTGAAAAGGTATTTTTGGTCAACATGCTCTACCAAAATCCTTTTTTAGGAAAAGTGGAGCTATATTTGGCTTCTTCAAATTTCTTATTTGCAGTACTATGCTGAAATTTCATCCATCAGGGATTTGTATGTCTGTTCGGGTTGTATGGAATCCACATATTAGCATTTAAATTTTGTCATTGTTCTTGATATCTGATGCATTAGCTTTTTTCACACGAAATGATAATTGCCCGGAAGATGCTAGTGTCATAAGGCAATCATGTTTGTAGCCAAGAAAGGTGTATCTATCTTTAACTGCATCTGAGATTGAAAGTTGTAACATGAGCTGTGAATTGGAATATGTAGCAACTCATAGTTTACTGCCTGTGCAGATTTCTGTACCCAATATATCCACTTATCTGTGTTGCTGCTTCTGCTGTGATTGAGAGCTTTCCTGATCTGTTCAGGGATAAGTATAATCCCAACGATACATCCGTCCTAGTTATGGTAATTTCCTATGCCCGAAGAGAAATTGTCAAGCTTCAATTTTCAGTGCCTATAGTATTCACTTGCTTTGCTTATGCAGATAGCAAAATTTCTCCGACCTCTAGCTCTTGGTTTGATTCTTTGTTCCTCCCATGCTCGGACATTTTCCCTTATTAATGGTTATTCAGCTCCTATTGAGATTTACAAGCATTTAGACTACTACGATGACGCTGGAACAGGTGAGTATTAGCCTGTTTAATGAAGAGTTGAATATCTGTTTGTTAGATTTTCATTTTTAGAATTTTTAAGACTCTGATGAATGGTGTAAAAATCTTGATGCATGAGTTAATTTTTTCCTGAGTATAACATGTCTTCTATGAGCCCGGCATTAAGATCTTTATTTGTTGGATTAAAAAGACCTTATAAAGTCTTGACTGAAAGACTTAAGAGGGTGGTAGGAAAACTAGTAGATGCTCAACAAATGGCTTTCATCAAAGGAATACAAATAATAGATGCAGTGTTGATTGCTAATGAAGCTGTGGATTCAAGAATCAAAAAGAAAGAACCCGGAATCCTATGCAAACTAGATATTGAGAAGGCTTATGATCATGTCAACTGGAGCTTTCTACTGAAATTGTTAGAACAAATGGGTTTTGGGCAGAAATGGATCAGTTGGATGAAATTTTGCATATCTACTGTTACATTCTCCATTCTCATAAATGGATCTCCTGAAGGTTTCTTCCATGCACGCAGAGGTCTAAGACAAGGTGATCCTTTATCTCCCTTTCTATTCATTATAGTCATGGAAGGACTGAACAACATGATTAAAACGGCCAAAATAAATGGATGGATTAAAGGTTTCAAGGCTCACAGGAATAGGGCAAACACTCTAGAGATCACACATCTTCAATATGCTGATGATACTCTAGTCTTCTGTGACGCTGAAGAGGAGCAACTTAGGTTTCTAAAGATCATCTTGGTCTTATTTGAGGGAATTTCGAGACTACACATCAACTGGAGAAAGAGCCATATTTATCCCATTAATGAAGTTAATAACATGGAGCAACCGACACAGATAATGGGAGGAGAAGTAGGGTCTCTACCAACTGTATACCTTGGGATGCCTCTTGGTGCAAGATCCAAATCCAAAGAGATCTGGAATTCAGTCATTGAAAAGTGTGAGAATAAGCTGTCAAGATGGAAATCACAATACCTATCAATGGGGGGCAGGCTAGTTTTAATCAACTCAGTATTAGACTCACTTCCTACTTACATGATGTCTTTGTTCCCAATTCCTGACGGAATCATACAGAGACTGGACAAACTTCGAAGATCCTGGCAAGGGAATAAGGAGAAAAAGGTCTTCCATTTAGTTAAATGGAAGACCCTCACAATGGCCAAAAAACAAGGTGGTTTAGGAATAAGAAATTTGAAGAATCAAAGTAAGGCTCTTAGAATGAAATGACTATGGAAATATTCTCAAGAACCTCAAACTTTATGGAGCAAAGTGATCAAAGCTAAGTACGGTGAGGAAAATAACTGGGTGTTAAACAAAGTCAGCACATCATATGGAGTTAGTGTGTGGAAATCCATCAGAGAACTTTGGCCTATAATGAAGATTCACTCCTCCATAAGAGTGAACAACGGAAGGAACACATCATTGTGGAATGATAATTGGTTAGGACATGGAAGCCTAAAGGAAAGATACCCCGATATGTTTGGTTTGGCACAAAACCAGCATAGGACAGTAGCTGATATGTGGAGTTATCAAGGATGGGAACTCACTCTTAGAAGACAGTTGAATGACTGGGAGATAACAAGATTAGCTGACCTCTACAAAGAGCTGGAAGCATTTAAAGGATTACAGGAAGGGGTGGATTCACTTTGGTGGCAGAGGCACAACAGAGGGGTCTATCAGGTGAAGGATACATATAAGATTTTGAATCAAAATGATCTTCAGATAGATGCTTGGCCATGGAAGCACATATGGAGAACAAAGATTCCATATAAGGTAGCATGTTTCTCTTAGCTACTAGCAAAGGAGGCTGTATTAACCCAGGATAATCTCATAAAAAGAGGAATTTCACTGTGTTTAAGATGTTTCCTATGTGGGGAAAACGCTGAGATTGTTAGCCATTTATTTTCTACATTGCAAGATAACAGACCAACTATGGAAAATCTTTATTAGTCTTAGGGGTATTTCATGGACAATGCCATGCAGGATTAATGAAGTTCGTTATAGTTGGGAAGAAGCTGGTGCTGAAGCAACTAACAGAGATAGATGGAGGACTGTCCCGGCTTGTATCTGGTGGACAGTCTGGAGGAAAGGAATGCTAGATGTTTTGAAGATAGAAGCAACCCAGTACAGAAGATCAAACTCAATTGTATTCTTCTTTTTTGTTTTTGGTGTAAACAGATTTACACAGAAGATACATTGACAATCGTAGACATACTAGGATCTTGCTAGGTTGCACACCAGCACATCTACTTACCACCTACTTGTAAATTTGGTTTNAAAGAGGAATTTCACTGTGTTTAAGATGTTTCCTATGTGGGGAAAACGCTGAGATTGTTAGCCATTTATTTTCTACATTGCAAGATAACAGACCAACTATGGAAAATCTTTATTAGTCTTAGGGGTATTTCATGGACAATGCCATGCAGGATTAATGAAGTTCGTTATAGTTGGGAAGAAGCTGGTGCTGAAGCAACTAACAGAGATAGATGGAGGACTGTCCCGGCTTGTATCTGGTGGACAGTCTGGAGGAAAGGAATGCTAGATGTTTTGAAGATAGAAGCAACCCAGTACAGAAGATCAAACTCAATTGTATTCTTCTTTTTTGTTTTTGGTGTAAACAGATTTACACAGAAGATACATTGACAATCGTAGACATACTAGGATCTTGCTAGGTTGCACACCAGCACATCTACTTACCACCTATTTGTAAATTTGGTTTTCAGTACAACCTATGTATTGATGTTATTAATATATACAAAAGTTATCAATTAAAAAAAAGTCTTCTATGAGCCCGACATTAAGATCTTTATTTGTTGGATTAAAAAGACCTTATAATTGTTTCTTGAACTTATTTTTGTTGTATGAAGTATTTTTATCCAGTAACATTAGCAATACTGGATAAATGAGCAGATGAAAGGATTTCTCTTTTAAAATCTGATTTTTGGGAGCCAAAGGTGTCCTTTCTGGCATAGGGTTGAAATTGAATACCTGTTTTAATGATTTGAACCTAGATGAACTTATTAAGGAATAAAAGGGTGTTCAGGTCGAGATATGAGAGGTGATTTGCTGTTATCATGTGGTTCTCCATTTATCTGGTCAGTTAGCTAATCGCCCTTTAATATCAGCATTTGTCAAATGCGAGCAAAAACACTAAGGACATCTATGTGTGATATTTTCCATTTTAAAGTTACAGCTATGTTCTTTTTTCTCCATTTACTCTGTTCTTGCTAGATGCAGTGCATTTCAGGTGCTTTGTTTAGCATATGAGGCTGGACGCATGCTGCATCTTTTCATATTCTGAAAGATTCACATGCAGTATTCATTTCTCCATTATATTTTAAACTCCCCATGTGGTTCAGGTTCTGTCCTTTGCATTGGAAGTGAGTGGCACCGGTTCCCTTCTTCGTTCTTCATTCCTGATTACGTGGGCCAAGTTAGATGGTTGGATGATGGATTCACAGGCCTTCTTCCAATTCCATTCAATTCTAGCTTGGGTGGGACCTCGGCAGCACCATCTTACTTCAATAATAAGAACAAGGCATCAGAGGAGCAATATGTAAGCGGACAATTCCTATTATGTTTAACCAGAAACATGTCCATCTTTTACAGTTTGGCATATTAGGAAGTCTGTATTTTGTTTCTATTGTAGTGTACAATTTATATCAACTCGAGGATTACACTCAGCTTTGTTTGGTAATAATTTTACAGCTTACGGATCCTGAGCAATGCACTTTTCTGATAGAGCTGCAACTTCAACGGCCTTATCCTACACGAGGAAGTGACTTGTCTACCTGGGAGGTACTGGCTCATCCTCGTAAGCTTATCACTCTCTTACCATGCTGCATGTTATTGACTTGTAAGACTGTTGCCTGCAGATTGTTGCAGCACTTCCATATCTGGACAGGGAGTTATCTCCTCCATTGTACCGGTCGTTCTTTATTCCATATCACTGGCAGCAGAAGAATGTCTTTGGCCAGTACAGATTACTTAGGAGAATACCAAAGTGATTGCAGATGTACAAGCTGAATTTTCTGTTGTCCAGCAACTTTTTGACGTGCCTGAGCTATAGAAGTAGTTTAAAATTGAGTAGGTCACTTTTGTAGTCTGATACTAGCTAGTGGCTCTTGTAAGAGCAGCCAGTTGATTTTGGTAATTGGATCAAATCTTCCATTAGTTTGAAAGTCAGATTTTGTACTCTCCTTTTTTCAGTGTAGATTACACAGATGAATGCTTGAACTTTAATGTGGAAGCAAGATGTCAAAGTCTTTTATCGGCAGTAGACGAGCGTTCATGATTTGGAAACTGGGTTAGTTGAATTGATTTAAGCCATTTTGTCAAAGTAAACCTTTGTATAACCAACTCGTTATTGATTCAACAGTTTTAACTTGTTCAAATTTAAACTAAATATCACGGTTCTACAAAGCTGGACGGCAAAAGTTCGCTTAACGATTTGGGTTACTACTCTTTAAGTCTTTCTAGTGTTTGTGAATTGTGATGTTGACTAGTTGTCCCTTCAGATGAAAGAAAATTGAGTACTTGACTTCTTGGCAAGGTAGAAACGAATGTCCAGTTATATACGACCCTAACCAAGCTGAATCTGTTGGGTGGAAGAAATGAAGAATGCATTAACTGATGACTTGATTGAAATAACTCGAATGACAATAAGGTCATGAGTGAAGTAATTTAATTTGATGATCTTTTCTATCTGACATGGGGTGCCATATATCTCCAACAGTACAATTTTGTTAATGGGGAGGGCTAGTAAACTACAATTAGTAGGGAAGCAAACATGTTATTATGTGTATGTTGCATGATCATGACTCTTTCCAAATATACTGCTAGTAGTAGTGGCCGAAAGAACACCAACAGATTATAAAGTCGCAACTCACGGAAATGCCTTAACCACAAAATTCGTAAGGTCAGGCAAATGCTCATATATAAATTAGTAGGTTAGCAAATGATTGGCCAATGGCTCCATTGCCTCATTCTGACATCATTTATCAACTGGCAGAGCTGACACCAAAAGTAGGAAGCAAACCAAGGAGAAACAAAAGTTTAGGGGGTATAACAAAAATTTATTGATGTCTATTCAACTGAGTAACATGTTTTGGAACTCAACCAAGAAGTAGAAAATCAACTTGCATTTCTTCTGATATACTACTTCTTGCCAAAACTGATAGTCATGAGTCATGACATCTATCCTAAATCCTTTCAAGTTCAAGTTCAAAAATTCGAAAAAGAACTCAAAAGAAAAGAGCCTCCCCTAATCAATCTATGTGGTCAAACAAACGGTACATTAAGTAGGTTAGTGAACAACTGGTCAAATGAGCTTTATTGGAGTCTTATGATCAATCAAAGATAAACTACAAACTTGCGAAGCTGATACCAAAATTCTGGCTAGGACCGCTACTGGAAGTCATCCTTGTGACATTGGCACCTAGACCCTGAAGTTTCATCTCCAAACTTTCATAGCCCCTATCTACATGGGAGATTCCACTGATTTCAGTACATCCTTCAGCAGCTAGACCCGCCAAAACCAATGACATCCCCCCACGCAAATCAGTTGCAATAACTTGAGAACCACATAGTGGACTAGCAAAAGGTCCATATACGAATATAAATCAATTTCCCAATACTCAGTTGAATAAATTGTTTCAGGAAATCAATCAAGAACTAGAGACTTACCTTGCATTTCCCTTCCCAAAAACTAATGCTGTGCTTCCACAAACCTGAATTTTAGCTCCAAATTTCTGCAGCTCTGTTACTGCACAGAAGAAGATCATGAAACAACACTTGAAGAAAAATTTAATTAAAATAATCAGTGGAAAAGACATCAAACATTTTCTATGCATTCTGACCAGATATTCTAAGACAATCATGTGAGATGACTCAGATTCTACGGAGAAAACATAAACCGCATCCCTGATTGGTGAATGCAAAGCACCAGAATAAGAGAAAGGGGATGAAATACATGTGTCAGAGTACAGTGGCCAAAGAAAAATAAGACAGAATAGAATCTTGAGCACACTGTTCTTGCTAAAAATTTGTAGTACATTTGGAAAGAGTCATGATCATGCAACATACACATAATAACATGTTTGCTTCCTCGATAAAGAGATCAATGTTGATTCCAATAGCTGCTCAAAGTAGAATTATTAGCCGAAGTACAAACTTAAAATTACCAAAGCAATTGGGGTTTCATGATTCCAAGTAGTTCTCAAGAAAGATGGAAATCAACACAATGAGTTGCAGTTAGCAGTCACATTTTATTTGAGCAGTACAGTGGTATATTTACTAGGGGGTCAAGTAGAATGACAAGTCAATAATCCAGATTGTAGAATGACTTCTACAGGGATAAACTTCCGACATGAGCTATGCAGGTGATTTTTGAAACAACTAGACTGTAGACAAACAACCAAAGTAGCTGCGCATCATAATTATCACATACCATGGCTCATACGATTTTCAAAGACAGTTTCCTCAATAACGCTTATGCCTTTGCATGTCGAAAGCAATGCCATTGTCAGAGGCTGGAGATCTGTCGGAAATCCAGGAAATGGACGCGTCTTGATACTGAACCCTTGCAAATTGTCTCCAGTTGCCCCAGGTACTGCTGAAAGCTGGTCTCATGAACCAAATTATCATAAGAAGATGTGCACGAGATGGAAGAAAATTAAGACATTAGCACATTTCCTATACCTCCAAAGTGTCATCACTAAGATGTAATATTTTACAACCAGCACGTGAAAGCTTGTCTAATAAAGAAGTCAAATTGCTGTAAATGACAGGCGACATTGAGATATGTGATCGAGTAATAGCAGCAGCTAACATATAAGTTCCGGCTTCAATCCTGTCGGGCATTATACTATACTCAGAACCATACAGCCTTCTCCTTCCACTAATATACAGTGTGTCTGTTCCTGCTCCTTCCACAGCTGCCCCACAATTTGTCAAGAAGCCAGCAAGGTCAATGATCTCTGGTTCCTGCATCGTACATATCAAAGTACAACAATTTAAAAAAAATGCTCGGTGCATTTCAGAATGAAGGGCTAATAATAAAGATTACAGATTTTTAGATAGGAACTTCAAGTAACTGTCATAGAAGTTGAAAGACAATACACTTTCATACTTGTGCTGCATTTGAGATTACAGTATTTCCCTCAGCCAAACATGCTGCCATCATAAGAGTTTCTGTTGCTCCTACGCTGGGGCAGTCAAGTCCAAAGCTTGCACCAGTCAAACCTTTACCATTTGATACATGTGCTTGCACTTTTCCATCCCTATGTGGACTCACAAAGTTAATCACTACTCATTCTGAAGAAACTCACATGCTATCAGTACTATGACACAATCAAATTGAAAACATTGGACTTAATACCATGTCAAAAAGCTTAAAGAAAACTCCATAAAGACTAAATCCAACAGTCTCTAAGGAGGCCAGTTCAGTTTCAAATGGTAGTGTCACGAGTTCCAATTTAAGTCTCTAGTTGGACCTTTCTGCCGGTAAGAACTTATCGCACCCAGTGTTACACCAAACCAATAAATACAATAGAATATGTCTGGCATACACACTTATGTTTGACTCTCACTTTAATTTGTAAGTTGTAACTTGTAACTACTCCCACTGTCTCAGTTTATGTGGCACTGTTTAGATTTTAACTCAAATTTTTTAAATTCTGAGCGTGAATTTGACATGGAATCTTTTAATTTTTTCAAATAAAATTTATATCTTTGAAAACTACATAAAAAGTACTACTATAAGTCACATATTTAAAAAGCATATACAAAAAATTGCAGTAAAAGAAAAATTTATTTGGCTCTCGAAATTCCAAAGGTGCCACATAAATTGGGGCTTAGGCACTAAGGTTAAATTGCTTATTTTGGTGTAAACACCTTGTGTGAAAAACATAATAGAAAATCAATGAGTTCACCAACCTCAACTCAACTGTAGCACCAAGAGCTTGGAGACCATGAATATAAAGATCAATAGGCCGAGTTCCAATGTCACACCCACCAGGTAACCCAACAGTAGCCTCACCAAATCGAGCCAATAATGGCCCTAACACAAAAAAGCCACCTCTAAGTTTCCGAATTTCAGCCGAATCAGGCTCTACAGACAGAAGTCCATCAGTATTAACCACTATTTCTCCATTAAAAGTCATAAGTTGAGCACCGAGAGACTCCAAGATTGAAGCCATAGTTCTAGTATCTGATAAACAGGGTACATTTTTAAGGTTTGAAGATCCAGAGCAGCAAAGGGTAGCTGCAAGAATAGGTAAAGCTGAGTTCTTGGACCCACTAATGCTGACATGGCCAGAGAGTGTGGACCCCCCATTGATAATTAGTTTTGGATCTTGAATGGGAGTTTTGGGAGGAGAAGAGAGTTGTTTAGGGTCCTGGAATAAGCAAGCGCGGGTATTTGGAGGAAGGTCATATCGGAGAGGATTGAACTTAGAAGCCATTGAATTGAATGAGAGAAGCAAGAAGTAGTAATGAAGATTTTAGTTGAAAAGACAAAGAGACACAGAGATCTGGAAAGGCGGTGGGAGTTGAAGTTTTGAAGAGAACGGCTGACTTGCTATTTTTAGGCAAAATAGAACACGACACACACTTTCCTCTTTTGGTAAACTAAATTGACTTGGAGTAATTAAATTTCTTTTTTAATTAGTGGTAAAAACTTGAGTTTTCTTTGTCTTTATGTTATTACTAGATGGGATTGGCCCGGGGTTTTTAATTAGAGCGTGTTTTATTTCGATAAATACTGTTTGATAGCGTAAATAGTGATATGGTAACTCTTGCTTAAAAAGTATTGCTTTGTGATGAAGATAAAAATCACTTGTAAGATTAGTTAACATTGCTCAAGCAAGAACACTTGCAAGACATAAGAATTTCTGCATTTTATCATTGCAGAAATAAAACTAACATCTTTATGCTTTTTGCCACATGAGATAGTATTTCCTAAGCAATGAAAAAACATGTCAGCATATGAATGGAGTTGGTATCTTCTCTGCTGAAAGTATAGCAGTGTATACTTGCTAATGGGTTGAGAGATGGCTGGGATAAAATGAAAGAATGGAATAAGCAGAAAAGCTCGTTACTCTTTTCGAGCGGCAGAACAAACACTTCCAATTATAGTATGTTTCACTTTGACAAATACTATTTCACAGTACAAAAAGTACAATATTCAGTTGAAGTACATGTATTTTATGTTATGGTCACGGAATAAACCCCATATTGCTCATGTAATGCATATCCATGTGTTGATCTCCACTCATTTTCTTCAACTTTCCAATTTTGCACTGAAAAAGGAAATCTAAACAGGGTGTTAATAATGAGAGAAATTAAGTGAAGAATAAATTACAAAACGCTCCTTCATTTGCTCTTTTCACCAATTGCACTTTATTTCCTCATAAATCACATTTTAGAGATAATGCCAACATCTGAAGAGGCGTCATTTGGGATTACACACATAAAAATGTATTCTCATTGATCAAAAGATAAGTATTTTATTAATAATAACTACTGAAAAAGTGTAGGATATCCAGGCACGGTCAGACATTCAATTCTCCAACTTCTTCCTCCAAGCAAGACGGATTCCATTTTGGACTCTGGAAACAAAATCATCAAAGGTTTTAGTTTCCTGCAAGTTGTAAGTCGACTCAATCGACAATACAACATGGTGGGTCTAACGGGACAAATGAAGCTGTATTGCGAAAAAAAGAATATATAAACCAGGAAATTTATTCAATCTTTAAGAAAATGAAACCACACCTCAACTAAGCTCAGTCAAAATTCCTTACCAAAAAATGCACTAAGAAACCACAAACCCAACATTTATGAAATTATAGTATCACGGGCTTGCAACGCAAGAAAAAAACCTGATCCTTGTCCACTAAGACTGCTCGGACACCTTCAGCAAAGTCACTCTGTAGAACAGATCTTATAGCAATGCGATATTCAGTATTCGAAAGGAAGAATTATTTATTTTTCATTGATTAGTCATAAGCCTTCACTAATGAAAGCATTCTTAATGCATTCCAAGTGTAACTATTTCTTACAAAAGCATAAAAGAATATTTGTAGTGCATAAAGCAAAAAAGAAGAATAGGAGATCTATAAATACTGCAAAACACCAGAATAACCACAGTATTAACATTTGTTCTGTTTCGATGGTATCTAAAGAAAACTTGCCAAGTTGGTACCTTATAGTCGTAACAAGATATTTTCATCAGACCAATTCCATTCCACGTCTAGTAAAAATTGAAACCATATTTCAGATTGTGAGAAGAAAAACTTTACATGACAGATAAACCATTTACTATTAGCACAAACATGGACAACCTGCATATGCTCTTTCTTTTACAGTTAGGGGTCGTTTGGTAGGGTGCATAAGAATAATGCTGAATAGGGTGTATTAGTAATGCTGGTATTAGTTATGCTGACATATTTCTTATCCATTGTTTGGTTTGATTATTAAAGCATTGCATAATTTCTAAAAGAATTGTTTGTTTACAAAAATGCCCTCAAAACCAGTCCATCACTCTAACTTTTTGAAAGAAACATATGTTTAGAAATGTTTTTATATGAAAAAATTTTAAAAAAATTATTTGATTTGTCTACCTATATTGTAATATAGAACCAAATATTTATTTATAAAAAACGAAATATGCTAACTATTTATTTATTTACTAGAAAAATAATTTTATTTCTCACTATTTGAATTATTTTATACTTGCATTAATATATTAACTAGCATATTTTAATCAAGCATAAATTTTGAAGGCCAATTTTGTCTTTAACTAAGCTAATGCATGCATTAAAACCCATTGCATTGCTAATACCATTGTTTTCTATGCATTAGTTATGCATAGGATAATACCAAATAGGATGTATAACTAATGCTTGCATAACTAATGCATAGGCTCAAAATGTCTGCCAAACAAGGTATTATTAATACACAAAGCTAATGCATGCATTATTTTATCTAATGCATTCTACCAAACGACTCCTTAGAATCATGAGTAATTCCTAACTGCATGGTGGTAAAAATAAAATATAGCCTGATAGAATTTTTTTTTTCTTAAGTAAACACTATTATAAAAAGAAAATAAATTATGAAACATATGTTCTTAAACAAGTCAGCAGTTTGAAAACAAGACAAAAGTTAATCAACCTAATGGAGACCATCTTTATTATTTCTGGTAAAAGAAAGGAGATGGATAGAAATCACTCACATGAATGCATAAATAAACATGAGAAAATATAGGGATTTAAAATGGTAGAACCAAACTGGACCTTCTTCATTCGTTCATATAGAAATGATGGTTGCGACAAAATGAAAGAATGGAAAAAGCAAAAAAGCTCATTACTCTTTTCGAGTGGCAGAACCAAATTGAAGTAGCCATGTGACTAAATAAAATGTCCTAATATTTCATTCCGATCAATGTCAGGATTGTTATCAAGTGCCTCAAGGCAACTGCAATGGAGTCGGAAATATAAACTACATTAAAGACGGCTCTTTTTTGACACAAATACATAACATGTGCAAAACACAATGATTTAGTCCTTTACAACCAAAGAATACTCTGTGCTATAATGATGAAACATCAACAACAAAGGGATTTATTAATCGATAGTAAAGCTAAAGGATGAAATAGTACCTTATGACATCCTGCTTGACTTTGATGATTTCTCTAAGCATTTGCCAAAAGTATGGACTCAAGACATTTTTTTCCTGTGCAAACAAACCGGAGATGAAGTTGAAGTATGACCAAGCGATTATTGGAGATAAGATCATGAAAAAACAAAAGAGCATGTCAAATAAAGAAAAGCTAATTGAGACACCTATAGAGATATAGGAAAGGGGAGAAAAGGAAATAATAAAAGGACAGAGATTTAAGAACTTGACAAACTGGATATTCCACCAGATTAACAATGGACCTTCCACCAAAGTCTTTAACATTTTGATCATCTTGAAGTCCCAGGAGGCCATCGTCTTTGAGAAACTGTTGATACTGATGACACTTGAATTGATCCATGAAACCACAAAATTCTTTGTTAATCTCCTTGCACAATAGATTCAACTTATTATCATTCAAGCATAGAACAACTAAATACTAATCCTTTGTAGATGGATAGGAAACCATTTTAATACATTCAACATCTAATCACCAGATACTTGAAACCAAAACTCAGTTAACTCATTCCCCAGTATTTAGAAGATATTCTTACAAAGTCACTCTATGGCTCCAAAATTGAGTATATCTTGCGGCATATAAGGAGCCTATGACATGTACACTCCAACAAAAGACGGAGCATTAAGAATTAGTAAATTGTTAATATGGAAAAGAAAAACAATTCTTAAATATGGGAAGGGTTTAGAATCTCTTTAATTAGGAGTAGGAATTGCCTTCTTTTTCTTTTTAGATAGCTTGTAAACCCTGTTTAAAACTCAACATGCTTAGGGAACAATCAAGCAATTCTATTCGCAAAGTATCTAATTTTATTTCTTCTTTACATCAACTCCGAACATAAGCTCATCGAATTTTGTTTCCCTCTCCTAACAAGAATCCTGAAACAAAATAATCAGTCACCAATATGAAGGAGAAGAAATAGAACAGTAAAACTAACCTTTCAACCATGTGACTATCTTTGAACTGCGGAAAACTTAGGAAAAAACTCAAATTTTATGTTAAAAGTACCATTTTATATTCCAAAAATTCATATTTAATTTACGAAAATAAAAATCATAGTAAAATAACAAGGGTTAAATGATAAAGAAGGACAAGACAGATGAACATTGAAGAAAGTGAAGAGGGTGAAGCAGAGCAAAATTATGGTAAAATAGAGATGGCACTGCGGTGGAGTGCAAATGTTTCAGTCCATGAGATGAGTCTCAAAAAAATAAAAACTAATGAGCTGGGAACCCCCAAAAAAAGAAGAACAAAATCTGAAAGCAGAATGACTAATTTTAATTTTAAATCAAATAATGATTATTGTCTAAATAAACGCCTGCCAAATCAAGACCGGAGATGAAGCTTCGCATTACAGATATGAAGTAAACTTTGCAATTCGTTTACTTTGATGAAAAGAGGCTAGAGCGGCGAGGAACCACAACCGAAACCCAATTTCTCCTCCCAGAAAGCTTTCACAGATTGATTAAGCTATGAATACAAAGTAGTGCAAAATCCACAGGGGAATGGAATTGTCAGCAACGCATGTAGCGGTGACTGCTGAGTAAGCGTAAAATGACACTAACAGACACAATTTAGTACAGAGTTGCATGTGAAGTGACGAAAATAACCCTCTGTCGGCAAGCAGGGATGTCGACGGCGAGCTGCTTCTACGCTCTTCTATATAGTAGGAAAGGAACTATTTGATTTGATACCAAGTTTGAGAAAGAAGATTGGCTGAATACATGGGTAGCCCCTTAAACTTGCCCTTTTTTCTCACTTGCGTATTGTTTGGATGCTTGTTACCCATCCTATTGTATTTTAGTGTAAAACTGATTATATTATATTATTAAATTCATTATTCCAAAATAATAAAAAGTCTTATTTTATAAAATAATTAAATTGGTATGGTAGAATTGTTCCGTATTTCTTTTTCCAATTACGCCCTCACCAATTATTCTATATTTTAATTTTACCCTTTACCCTATTATTTTTATTATACTTCACCCAACTATGTACTTTGCCTCCATCCCTCTGCCGTTTATTTTTTTGGTTAGTTTTCCCTCTCTTTTTTTCTGTATTTTTATCTCATCTATGATCTTTGCAAACTTTTTGCTAAAAATTTACATATATAATTTGCTTAGGCTTTTGCCATTCCAAACTACAGGAACTGAAGGTCCGTTGTTCTCTGTTTTGATTGGGCTATAAACTTTTTTTTTGTATGAAACCAATTTGGTGCTTTCATTACTATGGTAGAATGATGATTCCCTGTGAGGAAGATGGGAAACTCAAATAAATAAATTATTTTTATGAGTAGTTCTTAATAAGTATCGTATTTAAAATAATTAAGAATATTTTAGTAAATATAACAGTACAGTACAATATAATACAGTCAAACCAAATAATAAAGATGTTATTTAATAACAGCAAACGATACAATCTATCCAAATGTTGTATCAATCAAAATGATACAATACAACACATTATAAAACAGTGGGTAACGATGATCCAAACAGAGTGTTAGACACCTAAACTAACACTTGTACCTATTAAACACTTAGGGGTCGTTGGTATGAGGTATAAAAAGGTATAAGAGTGGTATAAAAGTTTAATACCACCTTAATACTCTGTTTGGTTAGCAAACCAGGTATAAGTTATCCCGGTGTTAATTTTAACGTTGGGATAACTTATACCTTATAGAAGGTGGGGTAATTAGCACTGGTATAACTTATACCTTCTTCTTAAAAATTATGCAATTGTCATTCTTAATACAACATACCAAACAATGAATAAACAACAATCATAGCATAACTTATCCCAATATAACTTATACCGGCATAACTTATGCCGGTATAAATTGTATTCCAACCAAACGACTCCTTAGGGGTCATTTGGTTTGAATATGGCTTATGCCGGTATACGTTATGCTGTGATTAGTTATGCTAGGAATGTTGTTTATCTGTTGTTTGGTACGTTATATTAAAAATAACAATTACATAATTTTTTTAAAAAATGTATAAGTTATACCGATGTTAATTACCCCACCTTCTATAAAGTATAAGTTATCCCGGTATTCTAATGTTAAAATTAATACCGAAATAATTTATACATGATTTACTGACCAAACAAAATATTAAGGTGATATATTCATGTTATTACTACTATTTGATTTGATACGAAAGAAGATTTCTATTTATGTGCGTGGAAGCTGTAGCGTGAAGTAGTGTCATACTGCCATTAAAAGTTTTCCGCTGAGCTGGCATAGTGCGTGCACTACACAAATTCAGAGAGCGTGAGAAGCTAGAATTTTTTATTTTTCAAAATTTTCTCCATCCATCTCTCTCTAGCAGGATCACCAGAGAACCTTCCCCGAAGCATGGCCGGAGAAATACCTCAGACCTTTTTCTATCATGCCAGCCTTTCCCCTCCCTCATGTTCCCTCCATGGCCGATCATCAGTGACCGCCCTCTTTTTTCTCCAGATTTGAAAAGAAAAGGACACATCATATGAAAAACTCCATTAACAAATCAACGCAGTTCAACAAAATAGAAAAAGAGACTCCGTTTCCATGTTTTCACCGGAAGCGAGTCTATTCTTCATAAAAGAACTCAAAATAGAAAGAACCCCATTTATCTACATCATCTGCGTGTAGCTCACTCCTTTTATATTTCCGGTTGGATGTGAGAGAAGTGTTTAATTGACAAATTATTTTTGAGATTAAGCGTTCAATACGTACAAGTGTTAGTATAGGTGTCTAAGTGGAAAAAGGGACAAGTTTAAGGGGCTCAGCCAAGACTGTAGATTTCTATTTATGTGCGTGAAAGCTGTGGTGTGAAGTTGTGTCATACTACCATTATAAGTTTTCCGCACCTTTATGCAACTTCTTGCCTTGCTTGCCTCTTTTTCTATTACTAGTTTCTCGACATACTTAGAGCCTATTTAGATTGTACATAACTAAGCTTTAGGTGCTAGAATCTTTTTTATGTGTTGAAATTCACTTATAATAAGTAGCTACTTACTTGGATAGAAATATTAAAACGGGTAATACACAACTGATGTATTTAGTAGAATAATTACTTATAAGTTATTCTTTTATTAAAATAAATTAAATACCTTTAATTTTTTTCCAAAAAATATATATCTAAAAGTATATTAAGAAGAAAAAAAAAGAATGATAAATATGGATCGGAGAGGAAGTTTTATTTGTGGAAAGGTAATTTAAGAATTTAAAAGAAATAAAAGGATAACATAGTTTTTTATGACTTTTAGTTGATATAAGGTTATAAAGATTTGGCTTATAAGCACTTTAGTATTTTACCAAACATTTAAATAAGTTAAAATGTGCTTATAAGACAGTTTGACCAGCTTATAATTAAGTGGAGACGAATTCATAATTTAAATTATATAGCTTAACCTTTTAAGATTCTTGGCATCGAGTCTATTAAATTTCTAAAATTGTGAGTTTAGTTCTAGTGTTGCAATCTTAAAATAAAAATATATTCACTTACCTAGAGTGTGTAATCAAGTGCTTACTTCCAAGGGTTCAAAAAGTATTTTCGATCCAGAAGGAGAAGTCAAAGTAAAATAGGTAATATGACATGGCATGTCAAAACATATAGTATTTATTTGCCGAGTTAAAATATAATTGTTGAATGATTTTGTTGTCCTAAAAGAAACAAAACTGACTTTGATAGGATGTTCTCATAAGTTGAGTGACCATACAAGAAATAAAGATTTAGAAAATAATTTGTTCAAAATTCCATACCAAAACCTCAACAATAAATACAAAATAAAATATCTACATTAAATTTAAAAATCGATTAAAATTTTACGTGTGGTGTTCCTTACTCCATACTATCATCTAAGACTAAACAAAAAGAAAGTAATTGTACAACGTATATCGCACATTTAATTGAAAGATTCCATCTTCAACTAATTAAGAATTGAAAGATTTCCTCTTCAACTAATTAAGAAAAAATGATGAGGTCTAAAGTTATAAGTAACTGTTATGAAACAATAAAAGAAGAAGAAGAACATTGCAGAGAAAAGTAGAGAGAGAGAATTCTTATTGCTTTTGGGATGAATTACAATGGAATAGAACCCCTATATTTATAGGGGGAAAGTGACTTAGCCACCAAGTAACAACCCTAAAATCTCTCTAAATATAGATATTCACCTTAAATATAATTCTATTTATAACACTCCCCCTTGAATGTCTATTCAACAGATAATGTGTCTCGTTAAAATCTTAACTAAATAAAACCCAATGGGAAAAAAATTCTAGAGAAGGAAAAAGAGTACACATATCTAACAATACGCCTCTTGGTTGCCTCGTTAAAAACCTTGCAAGGAAAACCCAATGGGACAAAATCTTGTAAGGGAAAAAGAGTACAATGCGTATTGACTCCCCCTGATGAGAGCATCAATTCACATCTTTAAGCATTTGCATTCCAATCTTGTATACTAGCTTCTTGAAGGTTGACATCAGTAGAGATGTGGTGAATAAATCAACCATATTAACTCCAATGAATATGTTGCACCTTGAAAATTCTCTCTATCACATTATCATGCTTATAATTATAGCAAGATACATATGTGCACAAATTGCACTTAGGATGTGGTACTTCAGGACCAAGAATTGTATATGCTTTAAGCGATTTAAATTCTTCAGATGTTGTCATATAAGCCATACAAATTGACTTTAGATGTATATCAAGTTTTTATGTCATGCTAGACATATAAGATAGATAAAAGTGATTGCACACACCATTGACTTTATACTATCGAGTGTTTGAACTACATGTCCAAAACTATATGTCTTTCATATGGAATCAATTCTACTCGAATTGTTTCTTCAGACTTAAGATCCTCATATATATTTAGCGCTATCATAGATGTCGTCGACGAATATTTTATATCGGTTCCAACCCCCTTATTTTCATATAGACATAACATAGAGATCTATTCATTCATATATTCAGGTACCTGAACCTCTCATGAGATTTTATGAAGTGTTATGTCATGTGATCTTCTAGATCACTTGCCTCCTTATTATGATCATTTTGATCATTTGCTCATCTTCTTTATCAAGAAGTTATTTGAAATCGATTTGTCTATATGCTTTAAACATACCATAGACTTTGTTCTTCTAGGACTTAATAGGAGCATTTGCAATGAGAATATAGTTACTTTTTTTAGGTCAGCAAATGCTTCTAGCATGATTTGCAATATATTGCAGATGAATTATCTTTTTATAAACTTCAAGTTCATATTATCGTATTCGAGGATCTAGATATACAAATGATAATTCATTCCACATAACTTTTTCTCAACTGTTTATCATGTCTCCCCCTCATGTTAGATAAATTAATTTTCTTCCTCAATTTTGGGAACTCATCTTTGTGCATTATGGTGTTAATCAAAATATACACCGCACATCAATAATCACAAGATGAAATTATTTGGTTCCTGACCCTGAACCACTTGTGAGGGGAGAATGTAATATACTTTCGTATATAACCTATATCAAACTGATATAGATAACTTTGTTCTCATAAGCAATAGTTTAGCTATTAAGTGGAGGCACTCAATAAATCATTTTGCTAAACCAACCGTGATGTAAATCAACTTATCAAGATGAGCTTCTTGAATAGAAAATCTGGAAATTATGCTCAAAATTAAATTATTGAGCAAGTTACCTCGCAAAACACCATGTTGCGAGTTAATAATAATTGCACATGTAACCATCTCATAGATGCATCTTATATGGTATACATGGCAGATGAATGAGCCCATATTCATCTTTGA